TTATGTGTAGATTTCACTATGTTGAACAAAAATGTATAAGTTAGAATTATATGCTTCCTACTGTAGAATCAACATTAGGTCAATTATCTGATGTATGTTATATGTCGAAATTGGATGCTAATAGTGGATTTTTTCAAATTGCTATAAGTCCTGAATTACGTTCATTAACCACTTTTATGACTCCTTTCGAGAGATATGAGTTTAACCGTCTTCCTTTTGGAATAAATTCCGCACCGGAATATTTTCAAAAACGGATGTCGCAACTCTTGGACGGATTTGCAGGTGTATTATGTCATATGGACGATATTTTGGTATTTGGCAGAACTAAATCTGAGCATGATAAAAGGCTAAACCAAGTTTTAGAAAAACTTCAAAACTCGGGATTAACTTTAAATTTGTCAAAATGTAAATTTTCACAACCTCGTGTAAAATTTTTAGGACATATCATCAGTAAAGGTGGTATAGAACCTGATCCAGACAAATTAAATGTAATATCTAACATGGAACCTCCAACTGATATTCATGGAATACGCAGAATCTTGGTAGTTATCCATCAATTAGGACAATTTACCCCAAATTTAGCTGAATTGACACAGCCTTTGCGTGAATTAATATCGCCAAAACTAGAATTTACTTGGACAAATAGGCGTCAAATTGATTTTGAAAGAATAAAAGCGGAATTATGTTCACCTAAAATTTTGAAACACTATAATCCTAATCATGAAACAAAGGTTAATGCAGATGCATCAAAATTTGGTTTAGGAGCCGCACTTTTTCAAAAAGCTGATTCCAATGATAATTGGAAACCGGTTTTATTTGCCTCGAGAACAATGACTTCCGCAGAGCAAAATTATCCTCAAATTGACAAAGAAGCACGTGGCGTAACCTGGGCTTGTGATAAATTTTCGGATTATTTAATCGGTATAAAATTTCATATTGAAACATCATAAACCTTTAATCTCATTGTTAGGAACCAAATGTGTAAATGAGTTGCCTGCAAGAATTCAGAGATTTAGATTATGGTTATTTAGGTATAGATATACAATTAGTCACGTTCCGGGTCGTGATCTTATTTTAGCAGACGCTTTAAGCACAGCACCCTTATCGATAACTGCTGATAAGTCTGATTTAATATTATCAAAAGAATGCAAAGCCATGATAGCTGGGTAGTTCAAAATTGTAAGAAACTTGAAAATCGTTAAACTGATAATAAAACGACAGGACATCGATCCTGTGTGTGCTAAAATTAAACAATATGTCAAACAAGGATGGCCAGATCGGGTTATTTTGAGCAGCGCATTAAGAGCATATTGGGCTGTACGCCATGAAATAGCTTTAGTACAAAATATCCTGATGAGAGGATCGCGCATGAAAGTCATATGGGAGTAACCAAATGCAGAGACCGAGCCATGCAAAGTGTATGGTGGCCTAACCTAAGCTCTCAAATTGCAGACTTAGTTTATAAATGTACTCAGTGTGCTGAGCATCATGATAAACAATTTGAACCGCTCATACCTACCGAATTTCCAGGCAGACCATGGGAAATTGTGGGGAGTGATTTGTATTATTGTCATGGACACACTTATTTGTTAGTTGTTGATTATTTTTCTAGATATGTAGAAATTGCAAAGTTAACGTATACTTCCAGTAAAGAAGTAATACTTCATTTAAAATCATTTTTTGCTCGCCATGGAACTCCTCAAACGCTTAGATCAGATAACGGTCCTCAATATTCTTCATTTGAGTTTAAAGAATTCGCATAAAAATACGAATTTGAACATATAACCAGCAGTCCTATATCCAGCAATGGAGCTGCTGAGAAAGCTGTCAAGACTGTTAAGAATCTTATTAAAAAATCTAGTGATCCTTATAAAGCATTATTAGCATATAGGCCAACTCCATTACATTCAGGTTTTAGTCCTGCAGAATTATTATTCGGCAGAAAATTAAGAACTCCTTAAGAGTTCCTATTTCTCCTAAAGAATAGACTCCAAATTGGTCATATTTAAGTTTAATAAGGGAAAGGGAAGAGATATATAGAGCTAAAACTAATTTTAATTTTGATAAACGCCATAAGGTTAATCGTTTGAAAGATTTAGAACCTGAACAAAATGTTTTTATGAGAGACAGTAAATCTCATGGAACAATAGTTAAGAAACATACTTCTCCTAGATCATATATTGTTAATACTTCTAAAGGATGTTTAAGACGTAATAGGTCAAACTTAGTTCCATGTGAATTGCCTCGTAACCAAGAGCTTACTTATAATGATATTGAAGATTTTGAGCAACAAGAAGTTAGTAATGGAGGTACAAAAGCATACAAGATTTTCATCTGTATCTCCAGAAAATACATTTCGTCCTATTGTTGAGAATAATTCTAGTCCCGTTGTTCAAAATGAGTTTAGTCAAGTTTTAAGAAAGTCTAAACACAAAAGGAAACCTGTTAAAAGATTAATCACAGAAATATAAAATATTTAATGAGTTCATTATATTACACGTACTATGAACAGGTTTTTCAAAAGTTAAGACTTTATATAAATCAGTGCTTCTCAACATGTGTCCATATGTACCCCCTGAGATGAATTTGAAATTCTTGGGGGTAAATCATAAAAAGATAACTTGCGATGCAAGATAACATACGCCCACTGGCAGCTGTCAGAAATAATAAAACAGTCTTTAGTGACTAAAGTACGAATTTTCTCATATTGAAGAAATTATTTATGCTGAATAATTCCACAAAATTTTTTAAAATCAATATCAATAACCCAAATACAACAAACAATTAAATCACACAGCTCTAATCAAGGGCAAAAAACAACTTTTGACACGTGTTTACAAAGTCAAAGGCAATAACTCAAAAAATGTTCATCAAAAATATCTCTTGTTAGAACTTGTCCGAGACCTTACCAATTCCAATGTTCACACCAAGTTTCATCAAAATCGGTTGAAAACTGTAGCTTCAATCCTGCTCACGAACAAATTTTGACGCATTTTAACAAATTTCAACACGTTTTAACAAAGTCAAGGGCAATAACTCAAAAACTGTTCATCGAAAATGCGTCAAGTTAGAACTTGTCCGAGATCTTATCAATTCCAATGATCACAAGTTGCATCAGAATCGGTTGAAAACTGTAGCTTCAATCCTACTCACAAACTATTTTTAACAAATTTTGACATGTTTTTACAAAATCAAGGGCAATAACTCAAAAACCGTTCATCGAAAATGCCTCAAATTAGAACTTGTCCGAGATCTTATCAATTACAATGATCACACCAAGTTTCATCAGAATCGGTTGAAAACTGTAGCGTCAATCCTGCTCACGAACTATTTTTAACAAATTTCGACGCGTTTTAACAAAGTCAAGGGCAATAACTCAAAAACCGTTCATCGAAAATGCGTCATGTTAGAACTTGTCCGAGATCTTATCAATTCCAATGATCACACCAAGTTTCATCAGGATCGGATGAAAACTGTAGCTTCAATCCTGCTCACGAACAATTTTTAACAAATTTCAATATGGCGGTCATTTTCTAAGATGGCGGACAATAACTGTAGTTTTTCATGAGCTTATCCCTGTAATGCAGCTAAAATATACCACTTTAAACATAAATTCACAATAACCATCATTATTTCATTATTTCATTAGCCGTGTGGATATCGTTCCAGATTATCAGCAACCAAATAAATGCAGCTCCACTGTATGCTTTAAATCAAGGATATTTTGCTTCTCTGTCAGCCATTTTGAAACAAAAAAATGGCCACTTCAAATACTGATGCCTATCACTCATTCTCAGTAACAGGGTGCAATTGATGTCGCCAGTACATGTAGTTAAAACTATTAATAAAATTGGCGAAAATTAAGTTGTAAGTAAGACTTACACTTTATGGTAAATAGTACATCACCAAAAAACCCCACTGACCTCACTCTTAGTTTGGGCAGGAGGGTGTCAAAGGTCAAAAAAGAAAGATTCGTTACTGTCTCCAATTTCAAATTCACATTTTCAGCCAATGTTTCAAAGAGTAATACACATCATTAATACACATCATTAATACTTAATTTTTGATATTATTTCAGTAAATCCATTGGAACAATTTAAAACATAACAGGTTTTTATATTTCATTTACCTATTGTCGTGAAAAATTTCCATTATGTACATGTCTCCACTTCCTAGGAAATATTCGTTACGTCTTCTTCTATTTACAATTCCAAGAACCTAGGTTTCGATTTATTGCTTTAACTATCCCTTAATCTTTCGTTAGAATATGTATATGTTTGTTTTTTATATCTAAAGTTAATATTTCAAATAATAATCATTTTTAAGGAAAGAAATGGGACCCTATGGATAAGAAATAAATGTTTGTTACTCTTATATCATCCGATGTGTTACATTCAGCTATTGCTGGTATATATCATGCGATAGTGTGTTAATACATATAAACCAGTTATATCGCACTTACTAATGATATTACAGCACTGTTGTCGATAAAAACCCTTATGTAAAAGATCCGTTACCGAAAGGTTCGTTACCAACGCTTCAGAAATAAATATTTGAACCCCTAATTTATCTTCCCAAGGCTTCAATTAGTCACATGTTACATTCAGCTAGTCGCCATTTGCATTTATAAGCCTAGAAACCAGGACGTCGGCCGTTTTACTTCAGTAGAAACGTTACTAATAAAGGTAAGTGCAGGAAACTTATAATTCAAACTGCATTAACGAACTGCGCACCGCATATATTGGTTTGGAAGGTTTTGTGTAATCAATGATTAATAAATGAATTTGTCTTCAAATTTTCAAGTTTTTCATAGTTGATTTACCGTAAGATTAAAGGGAAATATTCGTTACCAATTTTTTTATTCTGAATTTTCCACTATAGCAGTACGATTTTTTATGTGAAATTAAAAACAAAAAGATAATTTACACTTTTGAAATTGTATTACGTATATATAAATATATCAAAGAATATTTTATATTTTTATTCCAATTCAGATTGAAATGGCAAAATCAAGGGCAGAAATACAAAAAGCATATAGACAAAGAAAGAAAGAAAAAGATAACGATGCTTATTTAAGAAAAGAAAGAGAAAGAAGGAGAAAATCATACGTGCTGTCTGGTGAACTTACTTCAAGAGAAAGAAATAGGAGGAATGAGAAGAACCGACAAAACTTATCAAGACATAGAGAAGAGAACGAAGTCCGTAACAATTCATTAGATTCTAGTGGATATGATAGTGGTACTGCCTCTAAGTCACAAAATTCTCCACTTATCGTCAATATGCCTTTTATATTACCTAATCGTCGAAATGGTGCTAGACGCAGAACAAGTTGAGCCCTGGCTAAAGCCCACAGAAAGTTATCTAATGTTGGTCACGTATGCCACATACTATGTAGGAAAAACAAAACCTTGCAAAGACGACTCCTGAGAACCAAAAAATCGAAACCATCTGATTCACCGAGAAGCAGGACCAATCGCATTATGAAACATGCTTCCTTGTCACAAGTCCAACAAAGCAAAGTCAGAAGACATCTCTTAGTTGGTAACGTCTTTCTTGAAGAAGTAAGGGAAAGCAAACAGAGTATTTCCTATACTAAACGTAATATTCTTCATCGCCTTGCAGCTGGCAAAATAGCAAAGAAATATAGATGTATCCGATCTTTAAGTAGATTAACGGGTTTAAGCAGAAATCATCTGGGTAGGGTGAACTCCAAAAGTGTTATCTCCAATAATTTTCATAGGTTAAGAGAAGTTCGTATATTCAAGCAAAAGGTCATAGAATTCATGGAAAGAGATGATAATAGTCGCACCATGCCTGGAAAGAGTGACTTTACTAAAATAAATCATCACACCAAAGTTACCACCAGAGTTCTCACAGATTATCTCTCTAATTTACACCAGAAATACTTATCTGAAAACCATGAAGTAAAATTATCGTTAGCATCATTTTCACGTATAAGACCCAAACACATCCGCAAAACTGCTTTTATATCAAGGAGTACATGTCTATGTACCCGCCATCAGAATATGGCTCTTTTTCTTAAAGCTATTCAACGCTCGGGTGCCTCAGTCCCTTCAAACCCAGAAAGTTTTTTGCGTGAAGTTACAGATTTAAGACAGATAACAGAAAGCATAACTGAAGAAGAAATTACCTTTGGACAGTGGAAGAGAGTTCCATTTGAAGAGAAAGGTAAGACAAAGATGGTAATGAAGATAGTTGAAGAAAAGGTTATTAAAGCAGAATTCGTTTCAAAATTGACAAGTCAGTTTGAAGACTTTAAGGCGCATGTTAGCTGGATGAAAAGGCAATATTCTGAAATTCAAAGCCTTAAAGAACACCTACCGAAAAACGATGTCATTATACATATGGACTTTGCAGAAAACTATAATTGTAAGTCAGTTGAAGAAATCCAATCTGCCTATTGGAATCAGACATCTGTGACGCTTCATCCTGTCGTTAATCTACTACGCATCGGAAGAAAAGGTTCTTGACCATAACAGTTTTGTACTTGTTTCAGATGAGTTGGGCCACAATTCTGCTACTGTTTTAACTTTTGTACAATATTTGATATCTGAATCTAAGAGATTGAAACCTTCCCTTGAATGCATACACTACTGGACGGATAGTCCTACCAGTCAATATTGAAATAAAGTCATTTTCGACGCAGTTGCCAATCACCAGGAAGTTTACGTGGAATTATTTTGAGGCAGGTCACGGAAAAGGGCCTTGTGATGGATTAGGTGGCACAACAAAAAGAATGGCAGACGAGGCAGTTAGATGTGGAAAGGTTGTTATACAGAATGCTCGTGATTTCATGAAGTGGGCGGAAAAATCATGTATGTCAAAGGTTAAATTTATATTTGTCCCTGCAACTGAATGCCAATCCATGGCTTCAGCTATAGCAAAGAAATCATTTAATGTTGTAAAAGGCACCATGAAAATTCATTCTGTAGGAAGTTTACAAGGAACCCTGTTAGTAAAAGATGTCAGCTGCTACTGTGACGTATGCTTATCTGGCTCTTTTTGTGGATCGTGGACCAATCGGCAATCAGTTGTCCCTCATGCACCTCAACTTTAAAGTGGAGCGATGTTAACAGCCAGTGCTCCAGTTCAATATCAAATTGGGGATTTCAGTGCCGCCGATTACGGAGACAAATGGTATATAGGGAAGATATTAGACCGGGATGCCGAGATTTCCTTTATGGAAAACAAGAAAAATAAGAAAAATATGTTTCAGTATCCAGCTAAGTCAGATATCATATGGGTGAATTTTAATTCCATTCTCTGCAAAATATCGGAACCCACTACGAATCCTGCCGATGAAAGATTAAAAATTGAAAATATCAAAAACTTATTGATCTGAAATGTTCGTTACGATCCTACATTTGGAATAATTTAAGGACATCAACTTGTGGTTTTTCTGGTTTGTTAATGCTACTGTGTTATTCCATAATCAAATTTTAAGTCTCAAGCATGAAATTATCATGTCATAAGTCACGAGATACCTTTTCAAAATGTTCGTTACCATTTTATTTTATCATCAATGCTAGATTGAATGGCACGAACTATACCCACTTCATTGATTTCTGAAGTGTTCATTCATTGGGCAAAAAGACGATAATAAACCAATCAGTGCCACGCTTGCAACTTCCTTTAACTCGTAAAAAAAAAGTATTCTCACTGAAAACCCGTTGTTTTATGGGGGAACCAAATTCCACTTGTTGATAGATACCTGTACATCCAGTCGGTAAAAATCATATTCATATTAATTTCATCATAATAAATAATTTTCTATACTATGAAATTGTGTCAGATAAATATTTTCAGGCATTTTCAGCAATATTGGTTTGCCATATCCAGACATTCCTAATCACGCGTAAACATCATGAGAGTAGTTTTTTTCTGCTCACATTTCATTACGAAGGAAAATTTGCACATTGTAATTTTATTTTACCAGGAGAAAAATTGGCATACGCCTGATGTCCGATAAGGGTGACGTTCGAGACCTAGAAATATCGAAAGCCCCATCAAGGTTTAAATCAAAAGCTTGGGAAGTATTCGGTTTTTCCGGTCTTCTATAAGGACGAAGTTCGCAAAATAGACCAAAATAATACAGTCTGCAGACTTTGCTATGCGAAGAAACGTTACACAGGAAACACCACAAATATGATGACTCTTCTTCAACGACAGCACCTCAACCTCACCATCAAGGAAGATCACATCAAGCACCAGTACTAAGTAGAGGGCCTAATATCAATAATGGGAATGTAGAAGTAGAAATGGAATTTGTAGGCCAGATGACTGGTAAAAGTGAAGACACCCAACAAGCACCATTGGTTGGTCAACTACGTATGCAGTCATTCCTGATGCCTCTTCCCCCAAATTCTTCCAGATCACAGATCACTAAAAACACAATTTGATTATTTTTTTCAGGACAATGATGATGTAATTGAATTAGTTAACGAAGAAAATAATGATGAGCCAATCACAAAGAAATCAAGATCTGCTATTGAAGAACTTCTTGAAGACTTCTTTACTGAGGACAACACTGCTATTTCCGACAAAAACAAAGCTTGTACAAACCCAGTTGTTGAAGAAATAAGATTGTATCGGTCCGGTGATAATATTTCTTTAAATGCTAATGTTTTGAATTATTTTCAATTTAAAAATCTTAGTAATATTGTCAGTGCCAAGTGAGAGGGTGTTCTCAACTGCAGGAGATATTGTTTCAGCTCAAAGAAATTGTATTGGATCAGAGAATGTAGACATGTTAGTGTTTCTAAAGAAGAATGTTGAACATTATCCTATTTAAGAATAAGTTCAAGTTATTGAGGGTTTAACAATCCTTTTTTAAAAAGAACTTACACTAAAACAGTGTTCATAATATTTATTTCATGTTATTGTTATATTCGTTATATGTTTCATTGTGTGTTTTATTAAGTTTGACATTATTTAATTAAACAAAATCTCTAAATTAACTTTTATGTCGATGTATCGTAATACTATCGAATCGTAAGCTTTTATCACAAGTCTGTATTGTATCGTGGCTTTGTGTATCGTTGCAGCCCTATTCCTAAATATGATAATATTCATCTTCTAATCTCTTATACAGAAGAGTAGGACGTAAAACTCCATTCATTTTCTAATCCCTTATGACTGACAGCTGCCAGTGGGCGGGAGTATGTTACCTTTTCAGGAAAGCTATCATTAGTTTTATAGTAATTTGAAGTTTTATATTGCTGTGGTGAATGATACAGAAATTTTTTCTCAATGGTGATATAGATGATCAAGGTTAAGGAGCACTGATATAAATAAAGGAGAATAAAAACTGACTGCAGTTGTCAGTTTGAAGATATAACTTAAAACTTTTAGAGTCCCATGGAAGTACATAAATGAAAATTAATTTAAAAACTTACTTTTTTTTTCTGATCTAGAGGATGTGTCATCTTTTCTGTTGAGTTTGGAATTTCGTGTAGTTGTGCGAGAGGTTGAAGACGAACTTTCTTCAAAGGAATATTCTTGAAAATTGGTTCCAGATTTTGTTCGTCGAACTGAACGGGAATATGTAGAGTGGGATGAAGTGGAAAAATCATCATCTTTCTTTTTAAAGGCTCTATCTAAATTTGTTAAAAAAAGAGAAAATTATAACAAGTGTCTATAATAACTGAAATATAAAAACCAAGATAGATGCCAGACAAGCTAATATACACCCACTGGCAGCTTTGATTTTAAATTAAAATATTTGGCAGAAGACAATTACTCGTATGAAATATTCAACCTTCAGTCTTACACTTCTTTTGAACTTTTTGAGGCGACACTAAATAATATTATCAAGTTTCATCAAAATCTGTCAAGAATTGGGTCTTCTAGATTTTCGATTTCTCTGATTTTCGTTTGGGTTCATCTTTGGGTGATTACATACACTCACACCAAGTTTCGTCAAAATCCATCAAGAATTGTGCCTTCTAGAGTGTTTACATGCTACAAATTGAACCCATTTTCAAGTACAAGGACAATAACTCATACCAATTATTTTTCGATTTTTCTACGATTTTCAATAGGGTTCTTCCTGAGGTGATTAATAACCCTCACGCCAAGTTTTGCCAGAATCTGTCAAGAATTGTGCCTTCTAGAGTGTTTACATGCTACAAATTGAACCCATTTTCAAGTACAAGGACAATAACTCATACCAATTATTTTTCGATTTTTCTACGATTTTCAATAGGGTTCTTCCTTAGGTGATTAATAACACTCACGCCAAGTTTTGCCAGAATCTGTCAAGAATTGTGCCTTCTAGAGTGTTTACAAGCTAAAATTGAACACGTTTTCAAGATTACAAACACTCACACCAAGTTTCATCAAAATCCACCAATTGGTAATTTTGAATTAAACACTTTAATTTTCAAGTAGGTGAATCCAATTTTCACTAAGGTGATAATTCAAGAATTTTGAATTAAAAACTTTTCTTGTATTATCACCTAGGTGGAAATCATTTTCACCAAGGTGAAAATCAAAGTTTTTAATCAAAAATTACAGGAATTATCACCTAATTTTCATCTAGGTGAAAATAATTATCACTTAAGTGAAAATTAAAGTTCTTACTTCAAAATTACAGGAATTATAACCTAATTTTTACCTATTTGTACCTAATCTAATCTGTAAATTTGTTTCACCGTGTCTTGCACGATATCAGAGCATCAGGCGAAAGACATTCAGCTAAGTAGATGTCAAATTATTCAGCTACTTCTACTTATCGGGTCCACTTATTAGCATTAGAACAATATATATATTGAGTCATATTCAGTATCATAATACACTGACCATTCTTACTACCACTAGCATCCCAACATCAAGCCTACCTTAAGGACACGACTGATTTTGTCAATAAAAGAAAAAAACTTAATAGTACCTCTGAATGCAAACTTGATTTCCATCAACGTGTCGTTTATGTATACTAATATTGATAATACTGCAGAGTTGACCCATTGTTTTATGGTCATTTTCTGGATGATATATTCATGGTTTGGATTTTTTCGATTGAGCAGTTTTGGGAATTCTTTGAAATTACTAATCATGAATGAATTAATAACCATCCATCCATTAAACTTACTGCCAACGTTAGTACCAAGAGCATATAGTTTTTAGGTACCACAGTTTAAAATGGAGATTCAATAGCAGAAAGGAATAAACTTGATATTAAGGTATATTTTGAAGAAACTGATACTAATTAACTCCTGCACAAGAGCTCATTTCACAAAGGTATACCTTTTCTAGTATAATTAAAGGGACAGATGCGCCATTTTGGGGGGTTGATTTTGGTCTTCAGAAGTACTAGAAATGTACAAAAATCGCATAATCCTTTCAAAATAATTCAACCTATTTCAATTTTACTCAATTTTTCTATATATGTCTATTTTATATATCACAGAGTATCTTAAGATAGCTCGCCAGGCAAGCTAATATACGCCCACTGGCAGCTTTGATTTTGAATAAAAATATTTAGCAGTACAGTAACAATTACCAGTATGAAATATTCAACCTTCAGTCATACACTTCTTTTGAACTCTTTAGGGCGATACTGAATAATATTGATCAATTTTTAGCTCGTGAAAACTCTAGAAGGCAAATATTCAATCTTCAGCACGGGACTGAATAATGAAACTAAGTTTTGTCAAAATCCAGTAAGAATCATGCCTTTTAGTGTTTAAGAGCTAAATTTAATAGCGTTTTCCAGAACAAGGGCAATCACTCATACTAAATATTTTTCAATTCTTCTGATTTTCAATAGGGTTCATCCTTGGTTGATTACAAACATTCACACCAAGTTTCATCAAAATCTGTCAACAATTGTGCCTTCTAAAGTGATTACAAGCTAAAAATTGAACGCGTTTCCAATAGCAAGGGCAATAACTCATACTAATTATTTTTTGATTTTTCTGATTTTTGATAGGGTTTGTCCTTGGGTGATAACAAACACTCATGCCAAGTTTAGTCAAAATCCGTCAAGAAATGTCCCTTCTAGAGTGTTTACAAGCTAAAAATTGAACGTATTTTCAAGAACAAGGGCAATAACTCATACTAAATATTTTTCAATTCTTCTGATTTTAAATAGGGTTCATCCTTGGGTGATTACGAACACTCACACCAAGTTTCTTCAAAATCCGCCAAGAATTGTGCCTTCTAGAATGTTTAAGAGCTAAAAATTGAACGCGTTTTCGAGAACAAGGGCAATAACTCATACTAAATATTTTTCGATTATTCTGATTTTCAATAGGGTTCATCCATGGGTGATTATGAACACTCATGCCAAGTTTCGTCAAAATCCATCAAAAATTGTTCCTTCTAGAGTGTTTACGAGCTAAAAATTGAACGCATTTTCAAAAACAAGGGCAATAACTTATACTAAATATTTTTAGATTCTTCTGATTTTCAATAGGATTCATCCTTGTGTGATTACAAACACTCATACCAAGTTGTCAAAATCCGTCAAGAATTGTGTTTACGAGCAATTGTGGACGGACGGACCGAAAGACGAACCGACGGACATGGGTGACGGCAATATATGCCCCCCATTTCATGTGGGCGTATAAAAAATGTATTCACATGGAAAAAAATAGTTTGTGAAGATATCTAGCTAGGCCTTGTCAAGGCCCACAGCTCCCCATTTACCATTCCACAAGTCATTTTCTTCACTCCGTCTTTACGATTAATAATGGGCACAATTAAGGCCAATTTCTCTTTCGCAAAACTACATCCAAATCATTTTAATTTGTGATCTTAAGTTATATTTTTAAAATAATCATCACTTGTTTTGGCCACCATTTTGTTTCGATTTTAGTAAATGGTGTTATAAGTTACAATCGTTTTAAGTTAAAATCACGTTGAAAATAGGTTTAGAGAATACGACTCTTACGAGAATCTTAAACCAAAATTTTAACTTAAAACAGATTTTAAGAGATTTAAGTTTTCAAGAATAAGGCCCCAGATAATTTGCTGCGAATTAATTTTTTTAATCTTTTTCTTTGATACACATTTAATTCATACCAAAAACCAACAGGTCTTGTGAAGCTTCAAGAAAACTTCCAAAATAAAGTGGATAGGAGTGATGTTTTGAATTGAATACTTTATACAACAAAAAAACAAAATTACCTTCGACATCTACATGACATGTGGATTCTTCTTCTCCTAAATTATTTACAGCAATGCATGTATACTTTCCTGTATCCTCCACTCTAGCCATAATCACTTCTAATGAGCAAATTCCAGAAGAATATTCAATGTTGTAATAATCATTATTTGAAATGTCACGGCCATCTTTATACCATGTAACCTAACAATGCAAACATAGGGTTTCAGGAAAACTTAAAAAATCTTGTTAATAAATTACTTGAACAATTTTGGTACTTAATTGGTAATACAATACAATACAAATACAAGTAAATATAAGAAAATTTTAAATTAGTATTCGTTGAAAGGCTATATGCCTATGCAGCAGCCAATTTCATTGCAGTTGAAACTTTTCAACAAGCGTTTCTAATCAATTTAAACTTACCAATATGCAGGAGTATAGACAATTTGGTAATAACCCAAAGTATATTCATCAGAAAAATTGAAATCTCTCTATTGTGTACACAATTAAAAGTTAATATATTAGTTAAGGCCAAAAACAAATGGTGAAAGAGAGAACTCATTCAAGATCTGTTCAATGAACATAACGAGCACCAAACTAAGTTTCATTGAGATCGAATCAAAGCAGCAGCAATTACTTAAAAAATTTTTTATCAAAACCTTGTGATAACAGGATTCAATACAGATTTAAATACACTAGAATACCAGATTTCATCAAAATCAGGTCTAGTTTTATGTCGAAGATCTTGAATACAATCAAAATAAAGAAGATGTAAGACTTAATTAACTCTGCTATTTATAGTACAGAATGAGGTTTTAAGCCATAGTCTTGATGGAAGTGATGGTTGATCAAAATCTATTTTCAGTCAGTGAACAAAGATTCTTTGTAGGACACTGACATAACTCACATTTATGGCACCAGTTGAGTTTCTAAATAAATGACGTTGTATGTGATGGAGTAGTGAAAATAGGTTTCAGTGGTTGGAATATCGGTATGCTGTTTGACAGGTTAAGTGGTATCACATCACAAAATTCAAAATGATCCATTTTGCAACCGAATATTTGCAAAATATAATATAAATTAAAATCTGCAAATCCAATAAATTTTTTTTTTTGGTCAAATCTAATAATACACAGCAAATCTCCAATCTTAAGGAACTAGGATCATTGGCAAGATCTTTCTTTTATTAAGGTTTTCTACTGAAACATTTTGAATTTCTACCAAATTTTCAAGAATTGTATATTAAAATTTTACTTGATTAGCCCAAACTAAAATTGTCTGTGATAAATAGCTATTCAAAATTTTTAATATCAATTGATCCCTGGATTCACTTCAAGTTCACAAAGATCCTTCTGATGAAGATGTCCCATTCAATAGCACCAGTAATCTAGCAAGCATGCAAGATAATTTGTGCTTATTATAATCTAAAATGATAGTTGTATACCATATTCAAATATTGGAACTGTAATGAAACCAATCACTTTGCACTTTAAAGCCATCACACAAAGTTCAGGATTATAGAGAACATAAGTCTTCACTTTAAGAAGGTCAAATGCTGAAAATCAGTTATATCTAAAAAAAATCCTTAGGAATAATGCTTGTGTAGTATCAAATCCCACTTTCCATATCTGAGGATATGGTTTTCATGCTGATACGATTTGAGGTTGAACAGGTTGAAAATCACAGACAAAAAGTTGAAAATCCAATCTGACATTAACCGCAGTATGAAATATGAGCATAGAACCACTTAAGTAAAAAAGCTGAAATTTTTAAGAATCATCACACAAATTTTCCAAAATAAAGCCAATAAGAACAAATTTTCATTAGATATGGATTAAAAATGACAATAAAGTGTATAATTGATTGACTGATAGTCACAATATTGCAATTATCGACACTCATGAAATAAATAAAGAGCATCTACTTATATTAACAGAATTTTAATAGAAAATGATATTTCAAAGGAATAACAAGAAAGGCTTCATTACTAATGTGATGAAGTGGTTGCCTAGCAAGATAAGTCCACTTCCCTGATACATTTTCAGTATATCAGGGGTGGTCATCAACGTCAATCTGTATCAAATCGTGCCAAAAATCTATTTTGTCAAAGATATTTTTGATTTAAACCAACATACAAAATTTCACAAAGCACATTTAAGATAATTTAAGTGTATCAGATAACAAGTGGTTGCCAAGCAAGATAAGCCCACTTTCCTGATACATTTTCAGTATATCAAGGGCGGTCACCTATCTGTGTCAAATCATACCAAAAATTTAATTTGTGCAAGATATTGTTGATTTAAACAAACACACATTATTTAATAAAATTCTGACATAAACTGTCACCTCTAACGCTAAGAAATTTTGATACATTTTTACTAAGTCATGGGCAATAACTCAAATTCCGTTGATCGAAAAATTGTCAAATTTAATCTTGACTAAGATCTCATCATTATAAATGATCATACCAAATTTCATTTAAATCGGATGAAAACTGTAGTCTCTATTGTGTTCACAAACAAATTTTGATGCGTTTTTCATAAATCAACGGCAATAACTCAAAAACCATTCATCAAAAGATAGCCAAATTCGAACTTGTCCAAGATCTCATCATTATAAATATTCACACCAAATTTCATTGAAATTGGATCAAAACTGTAGTCTCTATTGTGTTCACAAACAAATTTTGATGCGTTTTTCATAAATCAACGGCAATAACTCAAAAACCGTTCATCGAAAGATAGCTAAATTCGAACTTGTCCAAGATCTCATCATTATAAATATTCACATCAAATTTCATTGAAATTGGATAAAAACTGTAGTCACCAAATTTTGACGCGTTTTTTATAAGTCAAGGGCAATAACTCAAAAAACGTTCATCGAAAGATCGTCAAATTCGAACAAATCCAAGATCTCATGAATATAAATGATCACAGCAAATTTCATTCAAATCAGATTAAAACTGTAGTCTCTATCGCGTTCACAAGCCAATTTTGACGCGTTTCGTGGTCAAGGGCAAAAACTCAAAAACTGTTTATCGAAAAATCACGAATATCGAATTTGTCCAAAATCTCATCAATATAATAGAACACCAAATTTCATTCGAATCAGATGAAAACTGTAGTCTATATCGCGTTCACAAGCCAATTGTGGACAGACGGACCGACGGACATGGGTGACGACAATATATGTCCACATTATAATGTGTAATAAATAATAAAACTTGACATCAAATACCATCCTTTAATACTCAACGTTTTGTCAAAAAAGTTTTTTTTGTAGTTTGTTTCTTCTTTTTGACGAAACGTTGGGTATTAAAGGATGGTATTTGATGTCAAGTTTTATTATTCATTACACCAAATTCAGTATACATCAAATGAATCGCTGTACTACTATTGGTGATCCCATCAAAAAGTCTTCTGTGATTGGTTATCGCTGCCTGTTTTTTCTTTTTGGAATCACCACATTATAATGTGGGCGTATAACAACTCTAGTCTCTATTGTGTTCACAAACTAATTTTGATGCATATTTCCTATAAGAAGGGCAATAAAAAAAAATCGAACTAGACCAAGATCTTATTAATATAAATGATCAAGTGTCATTTTAATCACATAAAACTGTTATTGTGTTCACAAAGACACTTTTTTCCTGAATCAAGGGCAAGATCTCATCATTATAAATGACAACATTGAATTTCATTAAAATTGGATGAAAACTGTAGTCTCTATTGTGTTCAAAAACAAATTTGGACACATTTTTATTAGTATCAAATTTTATTCGAATCAGATAAAAACTGTAGACTCTATTATGTTCACAAGTCACAAGACGAACGGACACACCGACAGGGGCACAGATGGTCAATGGAGGCAGAATTATACAGCCACATAATAATATGTAATAAATAATAAGACTTGACCATCAAAGTACCATCCTTTCATAACCAATTTTCATCACATCAGGGAAAGAAACAAATTACAAATGGTGGAAGGAAGTTAGATTAATGACAATATAATGACCTCTTAAGATTTATGATGTCATAAAACCACATAACAAGTATTTATGATGACTTCAGGAAAAACATGACATAAAACATGCCAAAAAACTCAACAAGAAAGGAAAAAAATCTAAATTTCTAAAAACAGGAATTTGGAATTTTCTCAAGAAGAAGTGCAAACTATGGTTTGAATGAACTGAACCCATAAGGTTTCAAAATTGTTTATAATTAGCCCCTCTTTTTCGTCATGCTTTTTCCTATCATCAAACACACTTGTTATGTGGTATATAAGATTTTGATGTCGTAAATCTTCTGATGTCATCATAGGCATAGGTGAATTTTTTTTCAAAGAAATCCATTAAAAAAAAATCATTGCTTTGGCTTTGTCTGCAAAAACCATCTTTTCGATATTTTTCTTTGCATTGTACAATTTTTATAGTACAAGTGAATGATTTTTTTTCAAAAAACAATAAATTGTATCACACCACTAAAATCAATGACTTACTTTCTTTTAGAATTTTTTTTTTTTTTTTTAAATTTTTGGCTTTAGCTTTGTCTGCAGCAACCTGCATTTCGTGTTAATCATCATATATGATTTTTATATTTTTTGTATTTCCATACTTTCAAATGAGGTCATATAACCAATATAAAACTCCATTATTGGTCTTTATCATAGTAATGATATTTAGGTAAGCGCTACAGGATGTAAATTGAAACAAATGATTTACCTTAGCAACAGGATGTGCTTTTACACAACAAATGAGTTTAAATTCAGAACCAGCCTGTATAAGACGTGGTCGCAGGCTAAACGTATAATTTGGAGCTTCATCTTCAATTGGTTTTTCTATTATCTTCTCCTCTGACCATCTTTTCCTGTATAATGTGTGGAAAATCTGTCACTCATTTAAGCTATACACAGATTAAAATACTCTTTCATTATGGTAAAAATATAGCTTGCCAAGCAAGGTAACACACACCCACTACCAGCTGTCAGAAATGATAAAGTCTGTATTGGTTTAATATGTGAAACCAATCATCCAATTGTTACTAATTTCAAGCTGTACTGAGATCTCATGCTAAGTTTCATCAAAAACGAGTAAAAAATGTATTCTCTATCAGGCCTACAAGCCAAATTAGACGCAATGAATTAATTCAAGGGCCATAACTCCAAAACCATTCATCCAATTTTTACCATTTTAGAACTTGAGATCTCATCAATATATACATGCATGCCAAGTTTCATTGAGATCAGATAAAAACTGCACTCTGTATCATAGCTACAAGCAAATTTGAAGCGTTTTTAGTAAGTCAAGGGCAATAACTCCAAAAGCATTCATCCAATTATGACCAAATTCAAACTTGACCGATACCTTATCAATATAAACATGCATACCAAGTTTCATCAAATTCAGATAAAAATTGCAGTCTTTATCATGCATACAAGCCAAATTTAATGGGTTTTTACTAAGTCAAGGGCAATAACTCTGAAACCGTTCATCCGATCAATTCCAATTTCGAACTTGACCTAAGTTTCAACAATATATACTTGCATACTAAGTTTCATCAAAACAGATAAAAATTGCAGCCTTTATCATGCATACAAGCCAAATTTAACGCGTTTTTACTAAGTCAAGGGCAATAACTCTGATACCGTTCATCCGATTATTACCAATTTCAAACTTGACCGAGATCTCATCAATATATACATGAATACCAAGTTTCATCAAGATCAGATAAAAACTGTAGCCTCTATCCTGCATACAAGAAATGTGGACGGACAGATGGCAATATACGTCCACACTTCCATGTGGGCATATAAAAAAAATTTATTGTCTGAGCAATATATTTTTACAGCCTAAGAGCTGAGATAGGAGCTGGATTGTTTTTTTGTTAATTTTTTATTCTTTTTATTACTTGTATTCGTATAGATCTCTCCGGGAGTTTATTTCTCAGAAACGCAAACAGGTACATCAAAACGGATATCACCACTTGTGGCTAACTACATACTGAATGTAAAACGAACATTTTCTGAGTAACATGAAGTGACAAACAGAAAACTGGCTTTAATGGGCGTGTTTTACAACCGATTTTTTCTCCGGTTTTCTTCATTGTACTTATTGTAACAAAAACTGTTCATCGAAAGATCGTCAAATTCGACCTTGTCCAAGATCTCATGAACATAAATGATCACAGCAAATTTCATTCAAATCAGATGAACTGTGGTCTCCATCACGTTCACAAGCTAATTTTGACGCGTTTTGGCTAAGTCAAGGGCAATAACTCAAAAACTGTTCATCGAAAAATCGCGAATATCGAACTTGTCCAAGATATCATCAATATAAATGAACACACCAAATTTCATTTGAATCAGATGAAAACTGTAGTCTCTATCGCTTTCACAAGCCAATTGTGGACCGACGGACAGACATGGGTGACAACAATATATGTTCACATTATAATGTGGGCGTATAAAAACTCTAGTCTCTATTGTGTTCACAAACTCATTTTGATGCATATTTCCTATAAGAAGGGCAATATAAAAAATCGAAAGATTTTATGCATATAAATGATCAAATGTCATTTTAATCACACAAAACTGTTATTGTGTTCACAAAGACACATTTTTCCTGAATCAAGGGCAATAACTCAAAAACCTATTTCATTGACAAGTTCAAACTCGAATTTCGAACTTGAGTGAGATCCTATCAAAAAAAAAAAAAACTGTAGCATCTACAAGCCAAATTTGACGCGTTTTTACTAAGTCAAGGGCAATAACTCTGAAACCGATCATCCGATAATTACCAATTTCTACTTGACCAAGATCACATCAATATATACAAGCATACTAAGTTTCATTCAGATTGGATAAAAACTGTAGCCTCTATCGCGCCTACAAGAAATGTGAACGGACGAACCGAGGCGACGGCAATAAACGTCCGTGGACGGATAAAAAGATAGCAGTTGAAAAAATTGAAATTTTTGCTTATTCGTTCGATACTTGTTTTTGCCGAAATTAATACAAATATGCTATTTCGATTGCTGTTAGACAAAATTGAAAAGTATATAGTGTAGACTGTGAAATAAAAATGCACATTAAAACTTTTAGCATCACTCCCAGTGTTGAAGTTAATACTTCTGGTGGCATCACTTCCGTCGGAATAGAGTTATGTTTAATTTAACATGTGCATGATATTAGTGTTGTACAAACAAACTTTTTCATCTAAAAAAATTCATACCTGAAGTGCTCACTCTACAGGCTACAATTCTTTACAGATTCTTTTGATTTTGATTTTGTGTGTCAATGTCATTATGAAGATGATCCCTATCGATTTTTGTGATGATCGGATAATTTTTCACCGAAATATCGTGTCTGACTTGACGTTTTACTCTATTAGCTATATTGTGCAACTTGTGCTCACTCTACAGGCTACAATTCTTTACAGATTCTTTTGATTTTGATTTTGTTTGTCAATGTCATTATGAAGATGATCCCTATCGATTTTCGTGATGATCGGATTATTTAGAAAAACAGTTGTCCTTGACTGATAAAATATCTTAAAAGATTTAAGACATCAGAGCAGAGTGATTTGATAATTTAATTTGATGTATTTGGGGTTATTGTTACTGATTTTGAAAATGTTGTGAAAAACTCAGCATAAATAAATATATATATGTGAATAAATTCACACTACAAATACATTATGAAGATCTTTGAAATGAGAAAATTCATATTTTGGCTACTTTTAAGATTCAATTATCATTTCTGACAGCTGCCAGTGGGCCTATGTACCTTTTCAAAGTTATATTAGGTGTATTTCATGACCTTGACCTTGATGACGTTCATATTGATCATTATAAATTGTTACCATTTGACCTTTGAGGTCTGACCACTCCTTCCGACTTTCATACATGTGTACAGGTCAGGAAAAAAAATCTGGAGATTTGCCTTGAAAAATCTGGAGATTTGCCTTGAAAAATCTGGAGATTGGGTGAAAAGTCGGGAGATTTTTCCAAAGCGCGTAAATTCCTGATTCGAAACTCCAAATTGATTCTTTTTTTTCTTAAAATAAGCTTTAAGCCTTGTAAATTAATTAAATTGATCATAGGTCTACATATGACACAGTTAAAATTACCAATCTGTAATGAGGGATAATTCTAGAAATAGTGCCTGATATTTCAAATTTAGGGGCCCAAAAAAAATTTGATATTGTCACTCTTCAGTATTGATTGAATCAAAAATGATGTCAAGGTGAAATGATGTCTGAAAACAAGAAAGCAAGCATTATCCCTGCCTTCTAAATCAAATGGTATCGGTAGGCCTATATCATACATGTAATACCATATAAAAAATTCAGTATGTTCTGAAAGCAATATTTAGTAAATAATATGTACTGGCAATGTTACTTTTTCCAAAGGTGTAATTCATGATATCTAAAATATCTCCATTCCGATCATTAAATAATTTTCCTGCAACACTCTCACGAAGTATTGAACTGAATTAACCGCTTCCATTTTGACGTTCTTCAGAATGGAAAGACTGCTAATAAGTAAGCCTGTTATGCAGGCAATAAAATGAATGTTTACAGGCTACAGTAAAATTACAAAACTATTTTATGAAACAAAGTTTGAGTTTACATAAGAATTAGACATCCAGTCGCGTATGATAATCTACCGATAATTCTGAAACGACGTCTATGTTATATAGGCCTAATATAGACCTCACAGATTGACACTGACAGTATAAAATACTATGAAGACCCGAAAGGTTTTGCTTTTTAGTAAAAGTAGTGCTACCGTAAAAAATATTATAAAAGCGAAAGTAGAATCTACCGGATGTTGTTATAAAAAGTGTGTCACGTGGGCTTAAAATACACATTATCGGGTGAAAATAGATCAAATTACCATCTTAATTGGGGGATTAATTAATTAGGCAATGATAATATTATTACATGAAGAGATTAAGGCGTGTTACCGACAATCAAGATACTAGTAATGATAGATATTTTGTTGATATATTGTAGTGAATTTGAGCATTGAAAACGGTAGGTCCCGTGAAAATTTGATTTGGAAAAAAACCAAAAATCGGTAGAGTGGTAGACAACATGCAAAAGCGGTAGAAACCCGACAACATCGGTAGATTACACATGTATGGACTTTACAGGGGTCTAAAACTGGTCCATTTTGAACCTTCACACAGTGCGGTATCTCAAAGCCTAAAAGGGATATAGTAATAATTCTTTTGGATTCATAATGCTGAGACATGTGTCTATGATCTGAGTACTATCTCTGAAAACTTTCTCCTTTAATTTTATTAATTGTAAATACATTCAAAACATACTTAAGCCTTCTTGTAGTTGACGTAGGATTTAGGCGACATATATATGTAAATAAAAATTTGTCTTTAAGTGAAACACAATTCAACCTACATATATACTTACATAAATATTTATACTTATGCACCTTCGTGAAATGGGCCTGAGCTTTCTAAAAAGTCTATGTAACAATCTGTTCCCCTAAAGCTGAACGATGTCTCTCTCACAATCCTCTCTTCTCCAACTAGAGTTATCTCTCTTTAGTCTATAGACAATCAGAGTTGTCTCCCTTGCATAAGCTGACTGCTTATTAAGGGATGGTGTCTCATAGTAACCATACAAATGTAAGAAGAAGAAACAGAAAAATTTTCCAGGGACCAAACTAATTGAAATTTTCTAAAAAGATAAACATTATTCCCTTATATAGACACAGCTTTGTGCCTGAGGACGACGGGGGAAACATGTCGAAACGTTGCATAAAACTTTAACCAGTGATTGTTGTTCCATAAAGCTGTGTCTATATATCGTACTCACAATTGCTAAATGCCATTCAAAGACATTATTCCCTTATGGAATAAGACAATGACTGTCGACTTAATAAATGACTAAATCATCAAGACAGATTTTCTACTCAAATGAAATTTCAGTGAAAACTAACCAGATAATAAATCCTTGCGATTATTTCGTTTCTACATTGTTTAAATATTAAGTAATAACAATTATCTGCATTCTGGACCAGAAAGTAATTAATTAATTAACCATTGTGTTGAACAACAGTTAAATCAACCAACAGATTTCACCTTTCTGTTTTATCATCATCTGCAATAAACACAGCGTCACATGATCTCAGAGAATTCCTTTGTTGACAAATAGTGCTTGCGAATTATTGCAGAAGCAGTTGGTTATCGAAATGTCAATTCTTTTTTTTTTGCACTGCTTTGTTTTGTAAATGACCCGACTGGAAATGATGTAGGACATATTGGGAATTACTGCTCTAATTCTGAATCTATTTTGACTGTAATTTTTGTTATGTTAATTACTTTAAACTAATGACTAAAAGATTTCAGATTTTGACTTTTTTCGCTGAATTTTATTGTTATAATTTTAGCTTTTTTTTTAAACTTCTACAATTTTATTTTAATCGATCTGAAAAGTTACAAGTAGAAAGACATTCTGATTGCGAACAAAACATTTGTATCACTTTGGTTTTGACGTCATTCGTTGAAATTTCAACTTCCAGAATTTGATATAAATATTTCAGACCTCAGATGTGGCCTAATGTAATTGAAATTTTTAATAACTTAAAAAAGAATAGATTTTATAATTTACAAAATTTTGCAAGATTAAAGGTCATTAACTAGGATGTCCATTTATACTTTGATTATTAATGTCCGACATAAACTTTGGCTTTTACAGCCATCCGAAAATAGCAATTAGCAAAACTATTAAGGCTTGTATCTCCTAAATTTGACCTTGTTGACCTTTTGACCAGCACTGTGCTAAACAAGATCATCCTTGGATGATAACAAACACTCACAAAGTTTTGTCAAAATCCGTCCAGAATTGTGTCTTCTACAATGTTTACGAGCTAAGAATTGAATGTGTTTTCAAGAACAAGGCCAATAACTCATACTTAATATTTTTCTAATTTTCGTGGTTGATAACACTCACACCAAGTTTCGTCTGGAGTGTTTACCAGCTAAAATTGAACGCATTGAATCATACCAAGATTCATCAAAATCAGTCAAGACGGAAATGAGTGACAGCAATTTATACCCCCTAATTTCATGTGGGCCTGTAAAAATCAATTCTATTAAAGTACTTCCTAATTTTTAATAGAAAAACTGAAAAATATGTTAGACCAGTGAAAAGTTTTAAAAGAAACATGAGGTGTATATATTCTGGTAATTCAAATGGCCTAAAACAGAAGGAAAGTCTCTAATTTCACAATACTTTAATACATATTGAGGTATCAGGTAATTCTAAGATAGAACTGTGGTCCAACGATAGGCTTACAGCTATAGTTTTTTTTTGTAATTGTTGTCAGAGTACCAAAAAAACTGTAATAGTTAAAACATTTTTGGCAATTGGTCAGACATTTCAGACCATGCAATCACCTTTTAAATATATTTTCAGGCATCAGACTTCCAAGCAGACTGCAGTTTCAAAAGATCCTGATTCAATTTTTGCATAATGAATTTTGGTCAAAATCCAAACGTTTTTTTATTTGATATTTATGAAACTTGGAATTGGTAGAGACCAAATTATCAATTATGATTATGCAAAAATATTTTACAAGTTTCCATGTTTTTTTTCTTGCTGAGGCCAGAGATTTTTCATTATTTGCTTTATGGGAGCGCCAGTCTCGAATTTGGTGATTTCAAAATAAAAATGAAATTGGCAACAGAACAATTTATTTCGGTCCTACCGAAATGTGACTATCAGAAATAAAATTTCAGATGTATCTTTCAAAATGATATGCGCTATGACAGCTTATAAACGTCCTCCTCAATCTCAAACGTGAAGAAAACCTCGTCAGCAAATTGTTTCATGTGCGATCTGTTCTGCGATAACCGAAAGTTGAAAATTTATGACAATGCCTTGTTCGATACCTCTCGTGATTACTGTGTTCACATGGTCAACGTTGTAAATTTCTGTTCGATAGTGGGTTTATATCTCGTATTTACTACTATAAGAGTCGTGAAAATGGAGAAATAATATCGACACCCATTTTCTCGACTTCTCCGACCTTCCCCTCGACCCCGTATAAAATGGCCACAACTTTCATTTGGTCAAGTTAATTTTTTATTTAAAGTCTTTTGACAATTTTTTTTTTACTGTCGTGTCATGACATAAATACCACTAAATGTTAATAAATAGCTTGGAAATGGAATATAAATATATCAATGCTGCTGACATAACTTTGTCAATTATCTTAGTTATGAAGTCGTGAATATTGTCCAAACAGTCTCCATTTTAGCACACAATTTTTGGACTTCAGTAAAGTCGTAAACACTATTTTCACGAGAGGTATCGAACGGAGCACAACATGGCAACAGCAAGCTATGTGTGTTACTATGTGTTCACAATGGATTGGCGACATCAAGAGAGATTGTGAAATTGGATAGCAATGGCCCAGTTGGGGAAGAGCTTTTCTCTAAAATAGAGGCCTTGGAGGAAGAACAATCAAGGAGTCAGGCCATTTCAAGATTGACGGCATATGGCAACAATTAGTTTTGACTCCTTTCACCCGAGAATCATATAACCTTGAAAATTTTGACTCTATGTCACAGAAAAATTATGACTTATGCAAGTATTTCATCACTTCAAAAATGACATAAAAGATATCAGGAGTATAAAAAAAAAGCCATTATTGAAAAAATCGTATAAAGTGTAAATGTAGGCTTCAGCAAGCATTTCCATATGAGCGTTTAAAAAGCGATATTTAAAGAAAACATTTATTAAGTATATTAATAATCTGAAAGTGGTAGGGTGCTATATCCATCAGGATTTGAGATACAGCACTGCAAAAATGCAAATTTGTCCATATTTAAACCCCTTTAAAATCGAAAGTTGTTGTTTGACCCCAAAGGTCAACATCACCTATTATCACCATGGTTGATATGTAGGTCATAATATGTCAAGATCTACACAAAAGGCATAGCATAGTTTAAAAGGTTAAATGTATATGTTATTATTGACATGACTTGAATTTCACTGAAAGCGATGCCATCAAAAGTAGAAACTTCGAAAACGGAAGTGGTGGAAATATTTTGAATGGGTACTTTTATTCCACAATGCTGGCAGTTTACACATGTAAGCTTTAAATCTGTCCGCCAAATAGCATATATTGATTAATTTTGGCAAAAAAATTTTTTTCAACTGCTTTAATTTTTCGTTTGTTACTACAAGTACAATGAAGAAATCCCTGAGCAAAATCGTTCGATAAATACGCTTGCTAAGGTTCACTTTCTGTTTGTTGGTAACATCACTTCATGTTGCTCAGAAAATTTCCGTTTTACATTCATATTGTAATCAGAATTGATTTTCATTTCTTTTACCAAATATTGATAAACCTCTATTGATGGGATTTTAAATCTCAAGTATATCATCTAGATACTTATCCACCAAACTTTCTTATTGAACTAAACATCTCAACTTATGCACCTTGGTCCGAGGTGACAAACTAAACAGTAAAGACTAGTGTGATGGCTATGAAACCAATAAAATGACAAATAGTAAATGTTTCTGTTATTCTTTTGTGTAGGAAAAAAACGCAACTGGATGTGGAGGTCATCTGATATAATTCAGCTTCAATTTTAGTTGAAATTTAGTTGAAAATAAAGCTTGATAGTTTTAACTGATATATTCCTCTACAATATGGCACTTATTTTCTAAAATCATCACATTAGTTTTCCAACAGCAACCTTAAAATACAGCAACTGTAAAGAGTTACTTAAAGTTTTTAGATATTTTTGGCGTTAAAAAATTAACAGCAGGATTTTTTTAGTTAAAACTTTCAAATAAGGTAAGGAACACAGTTTCAAGTGTTGACATTTAGTGTCAAGTGTCATCAAGTAATTACATCATATACTTAATTTGAATGTCATTAAAGATTATGTTCAGCCCTGTCGCCAGGAATGAATTGTTGTTGGGGCTCAGATTTTGTACCAATTAAATGCCCAGAAAAAACATTTCAGACAGTTTTGAGCTGATAAAACGTATCAAAATCTAAATCTATAAATCAATCTCAGCTGAACTGAAGAGGGTTTTGCTGGGGCTTAATTCTCACTTGCTGGGGCCCAGCCCCCACAGACCAAACCTAATGACGGGACTGATTATACGCCACAGAAACAATGAAAAAGTTGGTATTTTATTATTTGAAGCTTTACAAGGATTCAGTCCACAATAATTAGAAATAGTTGCTTGATTTTCTGAAATAGTTGTCATGCACAATTATTTGAATTTTGAAATATTTATAACTAGGAAAAAAATCTTACTTTCTTGGAGTATTTTCCCTGCTTGTAGATTTTTGTAAATCTGGAAGTGCTGAAATTACAAATGATACATACACCAGTACGAAATATTAAACCCTCAAATATTTTTGATTTTTTGATATTCAATAAAGTTCATCTATTTCACCAAGTGTCAGCAAAATCAGTCAAGAGTGCACATTGTCGAGTGTTTACAAGCTTTAAATTGAACGTGTATTCAATAATTGGGCAATTATCAAATATATTTTCGATTTTGATGATTAGAAATATTAAATTATAGTAATTTGGGTCCCTTATCCTGTTTTTAGGCTACCAGCATGGACACACAGA